GAAAAAATATTACATAAAGATATGAACATGCATATGTGAACACATGCAAATAGAGTCCTTATAGTTTTCATTCTAACGTTTTAACTGCGAGTCAGATAAACACAGTAACACAAACTCACACATTTACATAAAATGGTAGGATCTGAATAGTGTTTGACAGAACACGGTTACTTTTTCAGTATGAGACTAGAGGTTTTTAACAATATTTGTGGAAAAGCCTTTTAGGATTTTTTTGTCCCAATATATAATCTTATGGAGGCTATTTGTTACATTTTTAGTTAGTGGCTGAGAAGACATCAAGCAGCTATCTGGATGTCCATAGCCCACCCGAGTGCATAAAATATCTGGTCTGTTTCTAATTAGTTTGTGTTTTCAGTCTCAGGTAGTTGCTTTTGGGGGCCCCTGAGTTCTTTGAGAGCCCAGATGGGGGTCAAAATCTCTGTAAAGATTTAAGGGGCTAGAGTTGGAGGGAGAAACTCTCATGTTCTAAACGAATGCTACCTTTATACTTGTGGACAGAGGAACTTGGGACTCTGACCCAGCTACTGTTTCTTACAGAGATGAGCCTCTTACAAAGAGAGAAGCCTACAATTGTAACCCAGCCTTTCTGCTTGCCTTAGATTCTAACCCAGATGCTAACAGAGAAACCTAGGGTTCTAAACCGGCCTTTGTTCATCTAGGGCTCTAACTCAGCCTCTTGAGACTCTTGACATGGAGTCTTAATTATGAAAATCTGTCCTTACCATGCTTCAGTGGACAGCCGTCCATAGCACTGGCTCAAGAGCCAGACCCCCAAGTGGATCCCTGATCAATTAGTCAGGAGTGAAGACTAAGGATTCAAAGGTACACATTTGGGGTCCTGAATGAGAGGTTAGGGGATCCAGTGATAAACCAGATACTGTACAAGCTATAGCAGCATAAGGAATAAATTATTCCAACCTGCATTGAGATGGTAAGAAAGACTTTTTTCAGGACTATCACAATGAGGAAGAAAAACTGGTCTCAACTTTGAATACAGCACAAATAAGTGGAGATTTGTAGCCAAGGAGTAGTTTGGGGATTCGTAAATGGAAAATTACTGCAGTTAAACATTGGGGTGTGGGAGTAGTTCTTGATAGACGGGCCAAACAGAATTTTTGCTGAAGACAGACCAGGGTGATCAGCTATCAATGGTTGGGGATAAGGAATTTGGTTAGATATCAAGAATCGTCAGATAACAAAGATGGGAGATTCTCTCTAAGCTGATTTAGGTGGATTCTTGCTAAAACGGGGGGGTTATGCAAGCATGGCAAGGACAGTATCAGGAATAAAATAGGTGTTACTCCTGCCAGACAGACTGCAGATAATCAGAATATGGTGTTTGACATTTTTTTAATGAGTGATTTGTAAACCATTTACAAACTGAGTTGCTCATAATAAAATTTGAGTTTCAAATCAAAATTTGAATTTTGGAAACTTGTGTTATTCACATGAGCTTAATGTTTTCTCAATACTTATAGGTCTTTCTGATGAGATTAGCAGTGTTGTTAATAAACGTAATTGACTTTGGCATTGTATAATGAAGCATATTAAGAAGGTGTGCATCATTCTGTGAGTCAGTATGTGCTAGGTGACCAATACAGGATGTTACAAAATTATGCAATAGTAAGTGATCCATTAAGAATGCGAATGGTTTCAGATTGCAAACTGCAACTGTTTTGTAAGAGATCAATTTGTGTAGTATGAACTATTCTAACGTGCAATGAAGGTGCTCCTTTAACCTTTTCTAATTGTGCATTTGTATTATGTATTTCAACTAAAACAATGTATTACAACAGAGTAAATGAAGTATATCTGAGATTCACTGCATTCCGTTAAGCCAGACATTAAAGAAATTTGCAAAGTTGTACAACAATGCTTCTCATGTCATGAATTTATTTTTATAAATCATTTTTAATAAAAATATGTTATGGCATTAATTTAAAAATGATTTTATTTTAGTAAATATGTATTTTAAATGTGTATCAGTTTATATTTCTAGTATGGTCAATATTAATATATGTAACCCATTTGACATTAATCTTCTGGTGTCTCCAATCATTTATAAGAACATAAAAAGTCCAAGAACCCAAAAATCAATGGGTAACTATTGCTTTATGTTAATTATATTTGAAATTATGTTTTTCTATTTCAAAGAACTTCAGGTAACATAGCTTACTACTGAATTTTCTATCATTATTCTGCTTTGAGTGCTATGTTTTCATTATAATAAAGGTCCTATAGTTTATTAGTTGCCATGCTGCCACATTTCCTCTGACACATCTTAAGCTGGAAAATCTGGCAGTCATTTCTACTAGAAAGATAACTAAGAGTCTTGTTTATGGAATGTGTTAGAAGACTGTATCTGGCTTACCTAAGTTACTTCTGGTAACAAACTTACCATTAATAGATCAATGGACGTGGTCTACTGAAGCATGCCAGTGACAGATATATAATTATTGTAGTATACAGATATGTACTTATTGTAGTATACAGATATGTAATTATTGTAGTATACAACTGAGATGTTTCCTCAATCATATAAGTCCTTTGGTGTAAGGCAATGACCCTCAGGTATGATTGTGAGACCTCAGATATTAAATCTGGGTCATGGTCCATTTTAGTGTGTAAGGAAGGCCTGTGCAGCTGTGCTAGTGGTCTCAAACTAGTGTCACATCTTGCAGTCACCTATATCCTCAGAAACAGTAGTAAAATACGATGTCTCAAATATTGAGAGTCCAATTTATCGGTTGCAAAATATAATTTTGCATTCCATGCCAATTTTAAAGCATACCAAATGTATTATGAAACCCCAGGTTCATGCTCCCAAACAACATCTTAGTGTCAATTTACCTCTTTCATCTAAGAAGGAATACAGTAATATATGCTGGGGCCTGCTGTACCTCCACTGCCAGCATTCACTATCTCTTCTTGCTTTCTTATTGCTCACACATGCCTCTTTTTATTTCTTTTCTTCTCTTCCTTTCTTTTCTAAACTTAAGTTTATAAATAAAACCTGTAAGGCCAGGAGCAGGACATTTAGGAGTAGCATCCTCTACTTTGCTGTTAAGTGAATGGTGGAATCTGAGCTCTTATGGGCTTCCATTGTTTCATGTTTTTGCTCAAGTTTATCATCACCAGGCAGGTGAAAGTTTACAAAATATTATTGAGGGGAGGATATAGCATTTCCCTGTTACATAGTTGCGCCATTTTGGTTATTTAGAGGAGAAAGGAGTCAAACAATTAGACTTATATCACTATTTTCATTCTGGAAAGCTACTACCTGATTTGAGCTTTCCTATGATTCTGTAATGAACGTTTTAAGAATTTAAATCTCATAAAAGAAAATACAAATTAATGTAGAGAAGTAGACTAACTCAGGTAAGACAGAAAAGATGATAAGAATGAAGAGTATAATATTACCTTTACTGGATAAAATCACCATTATCAATATAATATTGGATGTCATGGGGTAGTAGGCTGCCCAACCTGAGACTGGCCTGGGGGATATTTGAAAGCCTAACATGGATAGTCTCCAAACCCTAGCAGTGTCCTGCACCAAAACTTGTAATTTTAAACAGTTTTCTACATCTACACTCTAGTGACGGATTGAATTCACTTTTGTGACATAATCTTTTAACTACAGACACATGAAGCAAATATCCATTTTTATTAGGTAAAACTGAAGTTACAATTTACTTCACCAATGCTTTTATTTATTTATATTCTGAGAATCTACATTTTTAAACTGTTATTTTAGATTCACAGGTACCTGTGCAGATTTGTGCAGGTAAATTGCATGTCACAGGAGTTTGGTATACATATTATTTCATCACCCATGTAATAAGCATAGCACCTAATAGGTAATTTTTTTTTACCCTATTTGGCATTATAAATTAGGTATACATGTTAGAAGAGCTAAAATATCTATATCAACCTTTTTGCTTTTTTGAAGAAACTTTTTCTCCCTGAATGGATTTAAATTTTCTTATGTATGTAAGTATTTGGTCTTCCTTGAGAAAGGGTGTATGTGTGTTTAACATGTGTTCATTCAAGAAATTACAGAAGTCTAGGAGCAGATATTTTAATTCTAGAAAAGGACAGGCAGAAATGATCTTAGTTCATTCTCAGATATAAAATTGTAGAAAGGAACCAGAATAGGTTGAAAAAACAACTAGATTGGATTGGATTGTTAATATCTTAAATGGAATCTATTTAATTGAATGACCTCAAATATAATTGTTTTTGTATACGGTATGTTAATTTTTTGTCAGGAAAGCAAGATAAAACAAAACCCAAGGGATTGGGCATGAGGCTTTGTTTTGAAAGAAGTTAATATATTCCCCATATGAAAAATGCAACTGAGAACCTGCTCTCTTCTCTAAAAATGTTGTCTATCAAAAGTACTCCTAGTTGTTGGAGATCAGCTAGCCCTGCCCTATAAAGGTGGCTGGGAAATTCTGAGTTCCTCCATGCCTGAGACCAATTAGGGACACGCATGACAAGGACATGAGTCAATAGAATAAAATCATTGACTGTATTTGAAGTGAGAGGGGATTGGAGGAAAGCATACATACTTTAAAACTTGAATAAATTATTTTAGTGATTTTTTAAGAAGGCTAACTATTTAAAATGTGAGAACTTTGATATTCTACCACATTGTGGAATTAACATTAGAATTTATGCTCCTTTAATTCTAAATCTGAACTCACAGACAAGAAGTTTAGGAAAATTTATCTTAATATGTAGCATTTGGGAACTATATCACAGAGATTTTCATCACTAAGGTATATTTGTACTGGAGTCAGAAACTATTTATCAGCTATGGGTTGTATGCAGACTATTTAACTTCCCTAAGATTCACTTTCTGTATAAAGAATGCTATATAGTTTTTAGATATTTACTCAGAGGATTTAATGTGATAATTCACGTGAAGTACTTACAATTTCCAGCATAAGGGAGACATTTAATAGCAGTTGGTTTCTCTTCTCACTGTTATTGTGAGCATCTAGTCACACTTTCTCATCACCACATTAGCATTATTTAATTCAGTCACTGAGGTCATTATTGCACTGAAAGACTGTGCACTTGAAAAGCATTTTCTGAAGTCCTCTCTTCATATCCCTGTTCCTTATGGTGTAGATGAAAGGATTCAGCATCGGGGCCACCACTGAATACATGATGGTTGACACAGTGTCACTCTCAGGCATATGGGAGGATGAAGGACTGAAGTAGACAGCGATGGCTGTGCCATAAAACACCACCACCACTGACAGGTGGCAGCTACAGGTGGAAACAGCTCTCTGCTTCCCTCGAGTAGAGGTGATCTTCAGAACAGTGGAGAAGATAATTCCATAAGATATGAGGATACAGACAAGGGGCATGATAGCCAATAGACCTCCTACTGCAAAAATGATCATTATGTTGAAGGAGACGTCAGAGCAAGAGAGCTGCAGGAGAGGGTTGAGATCACAGAAGAAATGATGGATGATGTTGGAGGCACAGAAGGACAGCCGTGCTGTTAAGACAGTATGCAGGAGGGCATGGAGGTAAGTAACAAGCCACAGTCCAGCCATTAGCTGGACACAAAGGCACAGGTTCATTGTGACAGTGTAATGTAAGGGGTGGCAAATCACCACATATCTATCATACGCCATCACACACAGAAGGAGGCTGTCCATATTCACAAAAGAAACGAAGAAGAAGAGCTGACTGAGGCAGCCTGCAAAAGAGATAGTCTTGGTGCCAGTCAAGATATTCACTACCATTTGGGGGACAGTAGTCGACGTAAAACAAATGTCAACGAAGGCCAAGTTACTAAGGAAGAAATACATGGGGGAATGGAGGCGAGAGTCAAAGCCAATGGTCACAATGATGAGCATGTTCCCCAAGGTGGTGGCTAAATACATACAGAGAAAGAGCACAGACAGGAGGTGCTGCTGCTCTGCTGAACTAGGGAGTCCCAGAAGGATGAATTCCCTGATGACTGTTAGATTTCTTTTTTCCATGTTCCCAAGAAATCTAGAAAAAGAAATTATTAAATTGTAAAATCCAACAGTGTCAAGTCTCTTTTGAGAGAGGGAGAAAGCGAGAGAGCGTGTGTGCTTGTGTGTGCGTGCGCATGCAGATAAGTTCCATCCAAACTCGTGCTTGCTTGAATGCTTGCCAGTTAATCTTGTGTTTATGATAGTCTACTTAATAGTCACATAGACATGCTGGATACGTCAGTATCAACTTCTTTCAAGACTGATTTCTTCCTTCAAAAGAAAATGCAAATTATGTGAATAATAATCATTTTAATTGGGTTATTTTGCCTTGTCTATAGTAATCATGTAATTCATATCAACTTTATATGTAAGGTTATTTGTTATTTTTTAGTAGTCAAGCTATTTACTCTTACCCAGTAGAACTAGTTACCTTTAATAAATAATTTTCCTCCTAATCTGATGCTTATACTTGTGATGGAAGATATCCTCATGTTAGCTTTCTTTTCTTTTAATGTATTTGGTCACTGATAACTGCAAGCTCACCTCTGTTCCTTGGGTTGACCATTGCTGTTTTGGTCTCTGATGGTCATTTGGTGGAGCCTCTGACTTGTGTAGTAAGTTATCGAGAGCCCAGTGCTTGTGGCCTGTGCTTTCAGGGCCCTTCCTTATGGCATCTTAGGTGTACTACATTCTCTAGAAGGTGCCAGTATTCTCCCATACCTGTCAACATTTTTCAGAGTGTTTTGCATCTTGATGTCCCTCACTGTACTCTCCAAATTGTCATTTCTGTATCAATCCCATTTATACCTTCCTTTTAGTTATAAAAATTATCAAATTATACAAATTTTTTATAACAGTAAGCAAGCAAACATACATCATTCATATAATCCATATTTTCCTTCAGCAAACATTTATTGAGCAACTTCTACGATCCAGGTGCTGTGCACAATTTAGTACCAAAGTTTTTTTCTAACTGAAGCAAAATTTGTGATATCTTCCTAAACATTCTCCTTGACACCTGAGGCCTTTCTAGTCTTTTCAAACTTACATTATTTCAGTTTATGTTGTTTAAGTCATATGGCTATCAAGTAAAGGGCATGTTGTAGAAGTGGGAAGAGATTTGGGATTTTTAGTCCAAGTATCATTATTTTCTCACAATATTCCAAGAGTTATCTAGGACTTCTATATTACTGATTTTTATGACAAGGATCCTAATGAAAATAACATAATGTAGCACTATATAATATACATGTTCTGGTTTTATGCTAAGACAGCTGATTAACCCTAGAGAACACAATGCAGTATATTTGTTTCTATTACAATGTTTTGAATTCCAACTTAATCAGAAGCCTCACTAACATTAATGATTACATTCATCTTCCTCTGATTCCTGTCAACTTTAATTAAGTTCCATGCACCCCCTTTTGCCCAACTTGAAGCATGTCAGGATAAAATCTGTGCGGTAAAGAAACTACACACTCTTGTATTTGCGTGCCTTTGAGGGAGAAGCACTCTTTCAAAGACAATTTCCTTCCCCGTAGGCACTATCAGTTACGTCGTTTTTATTAATCTCATACTCACTGTACAATATTCCTTTCATGACAAGCATAACAATTTCCCTTTTTCTTGGTCTACTTCATTGTAGTTAGTGAAATTGTAGGAAAGAATTGCGATTTATTATATTGAATCCTTAGGATATAACACATATATGCATGTAGTTTGCACAGAGTTGGTGCAAAAGACTGCTTATGGAAACAACAAATGAATGAAAAATTCTGGAGAAATCATTTGATTATACAATGAATATATGAGTTTTGGAAGATATTTTTTAATTCTATATTCTCATTTGCAGCACATCATCTTAATTTCAAAATTTTCTCAACTTGGATTTGGAAAAAGTTAGTCCATCTTTGAAATGCTTAACAGCTTCATCAAAAAACTTTCACGCATTACAACTCAAAAGATTATACATTAGGTATGTCTTCACTAAAACAAATAAAAAAAGTATGAATACATACCCTTTTCTGAGACCTTTGCCACCTGTGATTTTTTCTCTTTCCTGAATATCCAATCACAAAAACAGATGGACCTATGCATTGATTCCCATTTCTAGTCAAGAGTGAAAAAGAGAAAAATGAGATATAGACACGTGTGTTTCTTTCAACAGAGAATAGCAGTATCTCACAAGGGGGAGTATTTGGTTAGATTTATTTATTTTGATAATACAAAGGGGCAGGCCTTTAACATGGCACAGTTTTATCCCTTGAGATCAGCACCCGAGAGGCTTCATGAAGTTCTAAATTTAGCTTCTAATGACTTTTATTTAGTTTATAAATTGGTATTTCTCTTATTTTGAAGAGAAGACAAACACAGGGGGAAATATTGTATGCCGGAAGAAAGCATGAAAGCTCCTGAAGGTTCCAAGATACATTCTTGTTTTCTTTACAGGGTGCTTGGGTGAATGAATGATACAAAAAGATGGAAAACTGAAGCCACAATTTTACAAACCTATCTATTCCATCTCCATAAAACTTACAGCTTATCATGACTGCCTAGTGCTAAAGAGAGATACAGTGATGTAAATAACCCTTTTGGAGTAAGACACATTTTGGTTCAAATCTTAATTTGTAAATTAATTAATAGTTGCTTGACCTTGCACAAGGCATTATATTTTGTATGCTTTAGTTTTTTCATCTATAAAAATTCAAATACTGCTTATCTCATTTAGTTGCTATAAAATCTATAATATTTATATAAAAACCTAGAATTGCGCATAGACCCAGAGGTTATCCTGAAGCTTCTGATCATCTAATGAATTAATGGCTGGGATAATCAAATATGTGCCAATAAAAATGAAAACCAAAACAGAGTGTGTTTGGAAATGAGATTTTTCACTGTACATTAGATAAAGATTATGTGTGTGGGCGATTGCAGATATATTTATAGATAAACAGTTTTAAATCATACCATGAGCTACACTGTTACTCCACAGGGCTATATAACTTAGTCTGAGGACTACAGCTAAACCAACCAGTATTCAGAACATTTGAAACAGAGGCCCATGTATCTGAATCCAAAGATGCATTTATTCCTCTTTATTGAAATCAATATTTTATTAAACACATAGTTTTTGGTTTAATGTATTTAGGTAAATATAAGAACAGACTACAATGACAAACATTCAAATAACTATATGTGTATGTGTGTGTATATATGTATGTATGTATACAGACACACATATATAGACTGAAAGGTATACATTATATATTATATACTCATACTTTGTGTATGTGTGTATAAGTGTACATATATATTTACAAACACATTTATACTTTTTTTCCAATATAGGGAAGACCTCTATATTATCAATTGAAAGGAGATTCATTTACATTTATGTTTACATTATGTTTACATTTACATTTATGTTTAAAAAAAAAAAAAAAAAAAAAAAAAAATGTTTAATTTTACATTATGTTTGTTTACATTATATGTTTGATATGTTGTTACATTTATGTTTACATTATGTTTTACATTGTTGTTTTATTGTTGTTGTGTTTGTTCCTGTGTGTATGTCTCTAGGTTGATACAATGTGGATAACTTAACAGCTTTTGCATTTACATTTATGTTTACATTATGTTTACATTTACATTTATGTTTAGTGATAATGTATGTCTCAGAGTTGATACAATGTGGATAACTTAACAGCTTTTGTAAATTCTTTTGGAACATAAGTATAAAGCATTAGACTCTTGCAGAAGATCCATGAGCTGCTGAAAACACTTTAGAATTAGAAATCTGGAAAGGAGCAAGACAGGGATGATCTGTTAATAATTACCATGTGTGGTGCACTATGAAGTGGCTTTTCATGCATCCTCTCAGGTAATACCTAAAACAGCTTTGAGACAATTAATTTTCCTTTTAGAGAGAAAGAAACAACACTTAGAGAAGTTACGAAGCGCCTGGGTGTGGTGGCTCACGCTCGTAACCCCAGCACTTTGGGAGGCCAAGGTGGGCAGATTACAAGGTCAGGAGATTGAGACCATCCTGACCAACAAGGTGAAACATAGATCTACGTTTGCATGCTCTATTTGTACATGTTAAACCTTATAAAAACACCCAGGTAATAGTTGCTTACATTCAAGAGACAAAATATGTTTGTGTCACTGCCAAACAAAATTTGATTTACCATAACTCGTGCCTATGAAGAGATGGGGTGAATGATAAGCTTCATGTTAACAATTTGACATCCAAGCAAAACTCCACTTTTGACTAATTTCTATCTAATAGATGTGTGTGTGTGTTTATGTGTGTGTGTATGTGTGTGTAATGGCAAAGATCAGAGGCGGACTGAAATAGATGATGTGTTGTGGGTCTGGTGATAGGGAATCACAATTAAAAACTGTCTATGGTTGGGAATGCCTGGGGTAGCCATGACCTGTCCACAGGCACTGCAGTAAGGATGTTGGAATAGCACACATATACTACATAAAAATTTATACCATAATAATAGACAAATTCAGTAAAATTATAGAATAAAAAATCAACAAACCAATCTCAGTAGTATTTTTATACATAAATAATGACCTGGCCGGGAGCGGCGGCTCACACCTGTCATCCCAGCACTTTGGGAGACCGAGGTGGGTGGATCACGAGGTCAGGAGTTCGAGACCAGTCTGACCACCATGGTGAAAGCCGTCTCTACTAAAAATACAAAAATGAGTCAGGCGTGGTGGCATGCACTTGTAATCCCAGCTACTCAGGGGACTGAGGCAGGAGAATCGCTTGAACTCGGGAGGTGGAGGTTGCAGTGAGCCAAGATCGCACCACTGCACTCCAGCCTAGATGACAGAGCAAGACTCCATCTCAAAATAAATAAATAAATAAAATAATAATAATGACCTAGCTGTCAAAAAATTAAGAAAAACAATCCCATTTATAACATTAAAAAACCTTAGCAAAAAATGTAACTAAGAGAGTAAAAGATCTGTACACTGAAAACTAAAAAACATTGATTAAAGAAACTGAAGAAGGCGCAAATAAATGGAAAGGTTTCCATCTTGGATAAATCGCATGGAGCAAAACAAATTTACTGAAACGGGAATTGACTTTGAATTTTTACCAAAGGATCATCATGTCTCATTGATATAAATGTGGAATTTGGGAAAGTTGAGAGGACCATAGAATCCTCTGGGTTATCAGATCACCAAAAGCAGGAAAATGTTGAGCTCTGATGGCTCAGAGTTTCAGGATCTAAGCCTGCTCTGTGAGGAACTCTTCAAACC